TGGCGGCTTTTGAAACTATGGATTTTAATCACAAATATCAATATCACACTGGACTAATCAACGAATAATTTTGAAATATGTTTAAGTAAAGGTTGAGGTGGCTCAACATATAAGAGCCGCCTACTAATTACTCCATTACTTTATATGAAAATAAAAGTCAAACTATTATTTTTATTCGATTTCTTATCCAGTGTTCGGTGTTTGTTATCCTATTTAAATATAAATTTACAAATTAATAGTGCTCTTAATAAGATTTTTTCATTTCTAAAGATTCAAATTCACATTGATTAAGAATAGAGAAATTTCATCTATTTTGACTGCAATCCATATGGATAACATAGAAGACAAATTTATTTGGTATAACGTGACAAGACTTTTTCTTAAAACTTAATTGAAAGAAGTAACCATTATTTTTCTTTCATGGACAAAATTTCTTTCATATTTTTTTCGTTTCATATTAGTTGATCATTTTTTATTTTGCGTAGTGTTTAAGAAATCATAAATAAGAAGATAATTTTATTAATTCACCTCTTAAAAAACTTCTTGAAAATTTTACAAACAAATATAAACACTTTCAAAAAAAATTAATTGCTAGGGTAATATAGAAAAAAATAATTATCTTTACTTGATTTAGTAAAGTGATAAACTAAAATGAGACAATTATATTTAGTATAAAGATCAACTAATATAAAACGGAGAGACTAGTTATCTATGTCATTTTCTATTTCGTGTTCAAGTTTCACCCGTATTATTTATTTTGTCGATTATTTGGAGGCTAAATTTTCGGATCATAATCAATAAAATAATGAAAGTTATTCCAATTGATTGCATCTAAAATCTTCAATTAGTAAATCTACACTTTCCCCTAAGCATTAATTCACTTCACAAATCTTCAATTTCCCATCTTGGAAAAGGGATAAAATGATAAATTTCCTCATTCTCTCTCCAACTAATACCATGATAGCTTCTCAATTTCATTGTTCATTTTTTTTATTTTTCACCCGGTGTTCGGAGCCTACATTAAATTCCCGATTAAATTTGGATTGGGCACTGCAGGACCCATTTTTGACACTTCACTCTTTTAATTTTGAACTTTTTGCCATTGTGACATTTTTTTCACGTGACAATTATATTATTTTTAAAAAAGAGAGTGTAATACAAACACTATCACATATTACTTGAGGTGTTTTGTTCAAACTTATGAGTGATATAGTTTAGGGGTGTTTCTTACACTCTCAATAATTTAAATATAGAATTTTAAAAAAATGATAGTTTAAGTGTTCGCTAGAAACTTAACTCTGTAGCGACCTAATTAAATGTCGTGAGTAAATCAGAGTAAAGGCGTAATTGCACTGGCGATTTACCTAAATTCTATTTGGTGGTTTTTATCGTCGATTTTTGTCGCAAATTTAATTCACATTAGTTATGGAGTTACTTGCAGTGACATTATGGTCGCCACTAAAAATATTCAGTGGCGATTTACTATGCTCCTAGTGACCAAAAAAGTCTGATTTCTGGTAGTGAATTACTAATAATAAGTCCGATTTAAAGAGGCTCATATACATAACAGCGCGAAATGATTCTCAGGGCAATAAATTCAATTAACCAAAATTTAAAAGATAAAATTTCACCTTTTCATAGTTCAGCTAGGACATTATCAATACTTTTTTGTTTGTTTTTTGGTCTAAGTCTTAACACTTTACTAAAAGTTATTTTTTATTTTTTTAAAAAGAACGATAATTCAAATGCACTGTTGATTTATACTTCAACAAGTAAAGTACACGTGGGATGTAACTCTTATTTAGGTCTTAAGTCTATTACAAACTCTCACTAATAAAGTAAAAGTTTAAATAGTTAACCAACTGGGCTATTAAGATTTTTCATTACACCAGAGATCACTCGACCACTTGAAGTAATTTTAAAGAAAGAGACTCAAATTTACTTGGCCACTTCATCAGTACTTGCAGGCATCTCCAAGGGGAAATTTGGATCAGCAACGCCATTGGGACAAAAGACAACCTTATAGTTTGTACTACCTCCAGGACAAGTAAATGTGCTAGTAGGATCATCTTGTGGGTAGCTATAAGCATCGGGGCATCTTTTCTTGAAAAATTTGGACAACTCTGTAGGACCACATGGACCTTGGGTGCAACAATATTGTTGTCCTCCAAACGTGGTACAAGGATTGTTACATCCTCCAGGTACCTTAAGGGCGCGAGGACATTCACCATTTATATTGGCCGTGCAATGGATTGCATGGCATTTCCCAGCACTAGGTTTGGTAGGGGCAAAAGTCATTGGAATATTGAATCCGTCAACTAAAGAAATATCCCAGAAATCTAGGTTGCTAAACTGATCCAAGGCATATTCAGCCAAGGTGTTTGGGGGCTTGCCCCACCCGGTACACTGCAAGACTCCACCACAATCACCAGTCTGACACGAACCCCTGCCTGCAGCATTGAAGTTACAACCAGTACGACCCCATATACGTGCCATCTTTGTTCCCCTTGGAGCATTGATGACCCATGTTTGGCCCTTATTGAGACGTCGACCACCGCCTATCGGGGTCGATGCTGCCCACACGGTGTATGGACAGTTGTTGCGTACCTCGATAGTGGCAGCATAAGTGTAAGTCACAAAAGCAAGAAGGGAGAAAATAAAAGAAGATCTCAAGTAGCCCATGTTAATTTGTTGAAATTTATATATGAGGACAAATTATTTTTTGGTACTTTATATAGGGGTATGGCGGCTTTTGGCACTATGGATTTTTATTAATCATATATAACACAATATCATACTTTGACTAATTATAAACGAATAATATTAAAATATGCGTTGGTAAAGGTTGAGGTGGAAAATATATAAGAAGCCGCCTAATAATTAATTATTTTATGAACTCTGTAACGTGACGGAACTTTTTCCTAAAACTAAATTAAAAAAAAAAAAACAGTCATTTCAATATCTTTCGTGACCAAAGTTTGTTCCATACTTATCTATGCTCATTTTTAACTTTTATCGTGTTTAGTACGCGTTTGAACATAAAAATTGAAAGTAAAATTAGTTATATTTTCTTCATATTACTCGTAGTATGGATCATTTGCTAGAATAACATGAAATATACAAATCAACACGATTTTGATGTAACAGATCATTTGTTGGACCACAACTTTTTAATGCAAGTATCTATTAAAAGAACCCCTATTGATGCAAAAATCAATAAATAAATTGGGAGGAATTGATTGACAAGTCATCAAGCTTATCGTCGATCCACATTAAAATAACGTTAGTATGGCTGCTTTTAGATAAACAAGTGGATCATGTACAGTTGAAGTTAAAAGATATCTCCTATAAATATCTATCTATACCTCTAAAACTAAATGCATCTAACAACACAAATATAAACTTAGATTCTTTAAAGAAATTGCAGAATTAAATGGAGGCAAATAAGTCTATGGTGAAGTTGGTTGCTTTCTTGATAATTCTTGCATCATGTAATTAATTGACCATTTCTTTCTATTTTAAATATATATTTTTATTTATTAAAAAAAATAATTAATTATGTAAAATTATTTATGAACAGGCTTTCAATCTCTCACTGCTCAAGATTTGGAAATCGAAGTTAGTGATGGCTTAAATGTCTTGCAACTACATGATGTCTCTCAATCATTTTGTCCAGGTTTGGCTTTTACTCTATCTTCTTCTTCTTTTTTTGATTCGTTGTTTGATATTCGTATGAGGTCTGACTAAATTTGAATTCACATCGAGAAATAAAATATTTTCTAACAATTGACGAATCTATATTCAGGGGACTCGAACCTAATACATTTGATTAAAGATATATAAATTAAGATTCATATATACTTAACACTCCACCAATCACAATTCTTGTTGGTCTTTCATCTCCTGATTATTGTTGAAGTCTAATTGTTTTTTTTTTCTGATATAAAGTAACTTTTGATTTATAGAACTTTTAATCAATCGATACTGACATGATGTATAAATGTGCTCTTTAACTTAGCCTTAACTGACATATATGCCATTCAACTTTGAATGTATACAAATAATCACTAAAACTCTATATAAAATTGAACAAATATACACACTCGTCATACATTAAGCCGGGGACAGTTTATCATTTGTATATATATAATTGTGCATATTAATATTTATGATTCTTTCCACCACAATAAATATTTCTCTCACACACACATTAATTAATTACTTGTATTTTTATTAATTATAGGTGTTACAAAGGAAACGTGGCCAGAACTTCTTGGAACACCAGCTAAGTTTGCAAAGCTAATAATTCAGAAGGAAAATCCAAAATTAACAAATGTTGAAACTCTACTGAATGGTTCTGCTTTTACAGAAGATTTGAGATGCAATAGAGTTCGTCTTTTTGTTAATTTATTGGACATTGTTGTACAAACTCCCAAAGTTGGTTAAACAAAATTAATTCATGTTATGTACCTACCCTCCAGAAAAATAAATTGGAGCTGTAATATGGTTAATGTTTCCACTATATTTGGTGATAAATAAATGTGGCTTTTAATAATAATATGATTTTTCATTTGTTATACATATACTACTACAACAACAATAATCATTGAAATCTCACAAGTACTGGAGTCTGTGGAAAGTGATGTGTACGTAACCTTACCTCAATTATAACGTAAACTTGTTTGATTACCAAATGAATACATTTTAATCTATAATAGTGTACGTGTATATTAGTTATAATATTTAACAAGTTATATCGAGAGATTTACATCTACTTATTATTTAGGAGAAATGATTTTCTAGCCTTTTATAATTTGCTTATAAGAAATAATCTTTATTATTACTATAGAATATCTGAAAAAGCTATTATCTTTCGTTCAACTCATTTAATTTCTTCTGGGATATAGAGAAGAATTAAATTAAAGCATAAATGACAAACGATAAACTATAGGATGAATCGAAATATAGTCGATACATCAAAACTACGTGTAAAGAACCAATTAGACTGACCTTATATCATATTTCATTATAAAAACATTTAAGTTGAAGGGTATATATATATATACTCCACACGCATATACACAAACTTGTTATCAATGACTTTCTAGCCTTTTATAACTTGCTTATAAGAAATAATCTTTATTTTTACATATAGAAAATCTGAAAAGGCTATTATCTTCCGTTTAAATTGTATAAGAGAGCAAAATTTCTCATTTACTTGGCCACTTCATCAGTACTTGCACGCATCTCCAAGGGGAAATTTGGGCCAGCAACACCATTAGGACAAAAGACAACCCTATAGTTTGTACTACCACTAGGACAAGTAAATGTGCTAGTAGGATCATCTTGTGGGTAGCTATACGCATCAGGACATCTTTGTTTGAAAAAATTGGAAAAGAACGTAGGACCACATGGACCTTGGGTGCAACAATATTGTTGTCCTCCAAACGTGGTACAAGGATTGTTACATCCTCCGGGTACTTTAAGTTGACCAGGACATTCACCGTTTATATTTGCCGTGCATTGAATTGCATGGCATTTCCCTCCACTTGGATTAGTCGGGGCAAAAGTCATCGGTATATTAAATCCATCAACTAAAGAAATGTCCCAGAAATCTAAGTTGCTGAACTGGTCCAAGGCGTACTCAGCTAGGGTGTTTGGTGGTTTGCCCCACCCGGTGCACTGCAGGACACCACCACAATCACCAGTCATGCACGAACCTCTACCAGCACCATCGAAGTTACATCCAGTACGACCCCATATACGTGCCATCGTAGTGCCCCTAGGCGCATCAATAACCCACGTTTGGCCTCGATCGAGACGTCGGCCACCGCCTATCGGGGTCGATGCCGCCCAGACGATGTATGGACAGTTGTTGCGTACCTCGATAGTGACAGCATAAGTGAAAGTCACAAAAGCAAGAAGGGAGAAAACAAAAGAAGATCTCAAGTAGCCCATGTTTGTTGAAATTTATATGTGGACAAATTATTTTTGGTACTTTATATATAGGGATATGGCGGCTTTTGGCACTATGGATATTAATCGTATTATATAACAATATCATACTTTGACTAATTATAAACGAAATATATTACAATATGATTTGGTAAACGTTGATGTGGAAAAATGTATAAGAGCCGCCTAATAATTAATTATTTTATGAATATAGCCTATAGTTACAAGTTAACTTTATTTGGTGATAACTTTGACATATAAACTCTGTAACGTGACGGAACTTTTCTTAAAACTAAATATTAAAAAGCAGCTATTTTCAGATTTTTCGTGGCCAAAGTTTCTTGCATACTATGCCCATTTTTACTTTTATCGTTCTAGCCTTCTAGGTACGCGTTTGAACATAAAAAATCATGAAAATTGAAAGTAAAAAATAGTTTTTTTTCATATTACTCGTTTGGATCATTTGTTAGATCAATGTGAAATATACAAATCATTCTAATTTTAAAATCACAACTATTCTGTCTGATGGGGAAGTCTATGTAATTCGTGACAAGTGTTTGATTATTCTAAGTCTGGATTGGAGTCACAACTTTTAGTGCAAATATCTATTAAAAGAACCCCTATTGATGCAAAAGTCAATAAATATTTAATATCATATTTTATTTATTTTTACGATCGGAGCATGGATACATTTACTAATTAAAATAAATTGGGAGGAATTGATCGACAAGTCATCAAGCTTATCGTCGATCCACATTAAAATAACGTTAGTATGGCTGCTTTTAGAGAAACAAGTGAATCATGTATAATTTAGTTAAAAAATATCTATATATACCTCTAAAACTAAATGCATCTAACAACACAAATATAAACTTAGATTCTTTAAAGAAATTGCAGAATTAAATGGAGGCAAATAAGTCTATGGTGAAGTTGGTTGCTTTCTTGATAATTCTTGCATCATGTAATTAATTGACCATTTATTTATACTTTATTTAATTTCTTCACATATATTATTTTTATTTATTAAAAAAAAACGTAATTAATTATGTAAAATTATTTATGAACAGGCTTTCAATCACTCACTGCTCGAGATTTGGAAATCGAAGTTAGTGATGGCTTAAATGTCTTACAACTACATGATTTGTCTCAATCATTTTGTCCAGGTTTGGTTTTTACTCTATCATCTTCATTTCTTTTTTTTTCGTTCGGTGTTTGATATTCGTATGAGGCCCAACTAAATTTGAACGAATGTCAGGATCGAATCTCAGGTTGATTATCGGGGTCGTGCCTATAGGTTCGACTGTCGGGGTTGAGGTCAGGGTCCCAATTCAAATGTCGTGTCTTGGGTTGGGAGTCAGGGTCAGGTCTTAGGTTAAATCTCATGCTCGGATTCCGAATCTGTCGTCAGATTATGTCCTATCGCGTGTCGAGATCTAGTCCTGGATCGATTATTGGAATTGATTTCCGAGTCAGAAACTATTTTCCTACTCTCTAACAAAATATAAAAAATATTTTCTAGAAAACATTTTCCTTCGTACCAAACACACCCTAATTGTTGATTTTTTCCTCGTATAAAGTAACTTTTGATTTATAGAACTTTTAATCAATCGACAATGACATAATATATAAATATGGTCTTTAATTAATTAGTTGTATTTTTGTAAATTATAGGTGTGACAAAGGAAAGGTGGCCAGAACTTCTTGGAACACCAGCTAAGTTTGCAAAGCAAATAATTCAGAAGGAAAATCCAAAATTAACAAATGTTGAAACTCTACTGAATGGTTCTGCTTTTACAGAAGATTTGAGATGCAATAGAGTTCGTCTTTTTGTTAATATATTGGACTTTGTTGTACAAATTCCCAAAGTTGGTTAAACAAAATTAATTGATGTTATATATATGTATATAGCCTCCAGAAAAATAAATTGGAGCAGTAATATAGTTAATGTTTCCACCATATTTGGTGATAAATAAATGTGACTTAATTTTTGTTATACTTACTTCTACTACTATATATATATCAGTGAAATCTCACAAATATAGTCTAGGGAAGGTGTAAATTTGTTTGATCTATAATAGTGTGTATGTTAGTTATCGTATTTAACAAGTTATATCGAGAGATTTACATCTACTTATTAATTGGGAGAAATGATTTTCTAGCCTTTTATAATTTGCTTATAAGAAATAATCTTTATTTATACATATAGAATATCTGAAAAGGCTATTATCTTTGTTCAACTCATTTAATTTCTTCTGGGATATAGAGAAGAATTAAACTAATGCATAAATGACAAACGATAAACTATAGGATGAATCGAAATATACTTGTTACATCAAAACTATATGTAAAGAACCAACAAGACTGACCGTATATTATATTTCATTATAAAAACATTTAACTTGAAGGGTGTGTATATATTCCACAAGCATATATACAAACTTATTATCAATATTATTTTGGTAATTTTTCATACCATTGTTAGCAACCAAAATATTATTTCTTGGAAAGTTCATGGGCAAAAAACAACTTTATAATTAGTTCCTCCAGGACAAGTAAAAATGCTAGTTTTATCATCCTTAGGGTAACTATAAGCATCATAACACCTCTCCTTAAAAACACTTGAATATATTGTTGGACCACATTTATCAGAATAACAACAATATTGATCGGTCTTAAAAACCGTACAAGAATTGTTACATCCTCCGCGAATTTTTAGCACACATGGACATATCATGTTAATATCCACACTACACCTAATGCCACGGGTGCACCCATTCGATATAGGGATAAATTTTATTGGCACGTTGAATCTAGCGATAAAAGAGACATCGAAAAAAATCAAGATTGTTGTCTTGATTTAGGGAATATTCAGCCAAAGGGTTTGGTGGTAGCCCATAAGATTCACAATGGAGTAGATCATTGCAATCTCCAGTCTGACACTTACCACGGCCCGAATCATCGAAATTGCAACCGGTTCGGGCCCAAACACGGGCTCATGACGTGACAGGTGGAACATAGATTGTCCAATTGGAGTTAGGGTTGAGCTGGACACCACCACCCACTGGCACATATGCGGCCCAAACAGTGTAAGGACAATTGTTTCGAATTTCGAATATAGCTGCGTTAGTTAGAGTGAGTGAAGAGGAGAAAATGAACAAAGAGAACAAGAGGAAAAATAAACATGGACTTGAAAATGAACATTTAAAAAAAAATGAAAATGGTTACTTAGCCTTTTTATGTGTTTTGTGTGATGAGATAAAATTGGTATTTATAGAGAAGAATTTTGGGGCAATGTGGTTAAAAAAAAATAGGTATTGGAGTAGAAAATATATGATCATAGTGATAGTGGAAGTAGCAAATTGGTATTTTTAATTTTAAAGGATAAAATAGTAAAAGAAAAATTGTCAAACATAAATGGCTTATAAAATAAGTACTTTGGATGTTATCATATATTGCGCAAATAAAGTTAAAAGATACTTATAAAACCATTTAAACAACTTATAAACTTAGCCAAGTCTCTTAAATCTTTGTAAGAAAAATATATTATCTTAAAACTTCCACTACATAAATTGTGGGAAATTGTGACTCTTTCAATATATTAAAGAATTAAATGGATGGAATGATAGTAAGGAATTCTATAAGGGAGAAATTTACTAGCCACTGCCCACTTATATATTTGTTAAAGTGTTAGACATCATATTGAAGGAGTAATAGAGAAAAGTCATCATATGAAATGATCTTATCCTATTTTAATTATAACGAATACTACTATAAGTCTAGATTTTCTTGAGACTAAAGTTTGCTTTATATTGAAATGTTAGTTAGAAAAATAATAGGAAAATTCTACATTCATGTTTGCTACTTAGCAAGAAAGAAAATAAGTTTATTTTAGCAATAACATATTTGAATTTGCTTATATTTGTAATTTGTGTGGATTTGTATGCATGCATGAAGATGTGTATATGAACAAAATAAAATAGAGAAAGCAAAAAATAAAATAAAATTAGAGGAGCACAGGTTAAATCGAAAATCAAACTGTTAAGGATTAATAGCCGATCAATTGAAAATTGATAATGAACATCTTATTGGTTAATGTTTGGTTATCAATTTAGCGTGTTATAAACCAAAAATTAAGAAATTAAATAATAATAATAATAATAGACAAAATCGAATCGAACCAACCAATAAACACCTCGACCATACCCGAGTTACAAACCTGCCAATTTGCTAGCACTAGGCATGTGTTAACCAGGTCATTGACGTAAAAGTAATAATTAACGATATAATTATTTATTCATTATGATAAAACTATATTAGTTGAAGGGAGATATACATTACACACATAGGAGATTATTATCACATTAAGGCAACATAGTTTAGCAAACCTTTTAAGATACTTATTATTTTGGTGATTTTTTCATACCATTTGTTGCAAAATGTGCTTTATTGTGGCATTAATTATGGGCAAAAAACAACCCTGTAATTTGTACTACCACTTGGGCAAGTGAATGTGCTAGTAGGATCATCTTGTGGGTAGCTATACGCATTAGGGCACCTCTGTTTGAAAAATCTTGAGAAATTTGTAGGACCACATGGACCCTGGGTACAACAATATTGTTGTCCACCAAACGTGGTACAAGGGTTGTTGCATCCTCCGGGTACTCTAAGTGGACCAGGACATTCACCGTTTATATTAGTCGTGCAATGAATTGCGTACGTGGCATTTTCCTCCAATAGGATTGGTTGGGGCGAAAGTCATTGGTATATTGAATCCGTCAACCAAAGAAATGTCCCAGAAATCTAGGTTGTTGAATTGGTCCAAAGCATATTCAGCTAGGGTGTTTGGGGGTTTACCCCACCCGGTATAGTGTAGGACCCCACCACAATCTCCGGTCTAGAAAGAACCTCTACCAGCACCATTGAAGTTGCAATTAGTATGACCCCATATTCGTGCCATCTTAGTGCCCCTTGGCGCATTGATGACCCAAGTTTGGCCTCGATTCAGACGTCGGCCACCGCCTATCGGGGTCAACGCCGC